ATTGACAAAAAAAATATTTATTTGGTATGAAAGTTGGAAATTAAAAACAAAATTTATATTATATATTATGGTGGTCGGATTATTATTGTATTAAAAAAAAATTTTGCAATAGAAATAAAATATAAATTAGAACAAAGTATTTTTTAATTTATAATTCCATCATCATTGTTTAAAATATTTAGAATTTTGTCTAATAACTATATATTAATATATAAAAACTTTTTGTATTGTTTCAAATCTCAATTATCAAATACTACGCATCTATATCTATCTGTGAAATGTCACGTGAATATCTGATAATGTGTGTGTTGAAACTTCGTGTAACATCTATGATTCAAAGATTTAAAATCGTAAATTCATTTTTATTGGTCATTGATATGATTTCTTTTAAAATAACAACAATATAGATGACAAACAATAGCAGCGGCATAGTAGTAATCATTAATAATGGTAAAATAATATTGGCAATTAATTCTGGGCCCGACAGCTTAAAATAGATTTGTCCCATTATTATTACTATAGACTGAAACGTTTTTGGGCCTATAATAATAATACGAAACCAATTTAGGCTGCAAAACACATGCTTGTGATGGGACCCGACCAGGACCAGGTTGATATGAGTTATAAAATTGCGTCATATATACAAATAAGGTTTTTTTTTATTAGTAGAGATGGTTGACTCAGCCGCAGTTTAACCGCGGTTTAACCAATCGCAATACAGTTTATTAAAATCGCGGTTGTTATAATTAACCAATCATATTTAAGTCGAACGTTTCAGTTAAACCATGAGATAGTTGAAACCGCGGTTGAACCGAGACCTGATCTACAATTAGTTCTTGGAATCTGTCTTAAAAAATACAGACTTTCTAGAGGTTTTTAAAATTCCAAATATCCGAGTTTTACTATGCAAATCGGATATTGTTTCTAAGCCAAAAACGTTCCAATTACATATAAGAGTGGTATTAACTCGAAATCATGATTTTTGACGTTGTTCTTGTTTCTATTGAAAACGAAGAATATGAAAAATGGGAGATGTCACTCTTTAAAATTCACAACATCGGAATAAACACCATAACTTTTATTAAAGAATCTGACTGTTAACAATTTTGCTAGCAGACAAATAGATTAATTTTAAAATTCTGCAAAATGTTTATTTCATTTCATGTTAAAAGATAAGTTTTACGGCTTTATAATAAATAATCTATTAAATAAATAATATTATACGTCTAATAATAAATTATTGTATAATTAATTCCATGAAATTGTAAATCCACCATCACACAACGAAATTCCTAATCCTCTAATAATTAATTTTTGGTTTTCATTTTGCCACTCAGTATTATCATTTTTATTATTGGAACAAAATTTCTTTTCGCCGTTTCTAGTCTTAACCTTTACCTCAACAGTATTTCCATTATTATTAGAATCTTGTTGCAATAGTACACCAAAAATTTCAATTTCATCAATAAATGAACCCCGCCCTTTATAATTAAATGATATGCCTTCGATGCTTAAACATTGATTTTCTACAGTAAATGTTACAAAGGTGTATTGATCTCCCAGAAGCTCCAATAAAGTTTCACCATCATCTAAATATAATTCGCCTTTTGCTTTGCCCTTGGCATCTAAAGCAATCAACAAGTGAATTCCACTGGCACGTGTTTCAAATGAAGTTAAGCTGGAACGGCAATTTAATGGTATGATTGAACCGCCATAAACGTGCACTGGTATCTTTTCTAACGGTGCATCCACTTCCATCCATTTTCCTTTTCCTGGTTCTTGCTCAGATTCGACCACCAATTTCAATCCAGTCATGAACTCATACCATATTCCCGCTGGAAAATACCCTTTAACTTTTGTACAATTTGGTTCTGTCACCGGTGTAACTAACAATAACCCATTTCCAACTAAAAATTGTTTATCGATCTCTAATGCATCTTCACCATTAGGTTCTAAAAACCATAACGGTCTAATCACTGGTGTTCCTCTTGTGGCAGCACAATAAAATGACGTGTACCAATATGGTAACATCTTGTATCTAATTTCTAACCATGTTTTACAAATTTGTTTAACATCATCTTCCCATCGATAAACTTCTTGACCTGGCATATTTATGGCGTTATGATTTCTAAAAAATGGATAGAAGCAACCCAACTGGTGCCACCTGATTGCAAGTTCCCGTTCGCACTTACCATTGAACCCACCTACATCAGCACCAACCAATGGAATTGCAAAGAATTGAAAAGAAATAACCCCAGCGATTGAATGCGCCATGCTTTCCCATTCTGACCAATTATCGCCTAGCCAATGAGCAGCGTACTTGCCGCTACCAGGAAATGTGGAACGTGACAAGACAAAAGGGCGTCTTTTGGGATAAATTTCGCACAATGACTTGTATGTCACCATTGCCTCCATATGACCAAATAAGTTATGGGCATTGTATTCTGTGATTCCAGAATGATGAAATGCATCCATGGGTGAAGTTCTGGTGAATAGAGGAGATTTTTTACCACAATTATTAATATCATATGGAGGATTGTTAACAGAGTGTGGCTCTGGTTCTTGTACCGCTATTGCAGATAGAGCTATTTTTTTTATCGCATTTGTAACTTGCAGGTGTTCTTCATCTTCATCGTTCATCACAGTATTTGCCATATCATCAACTGTCTGATCAGCAGAAGGTATCATAATAATATCATCTCTTCGATCTTCATTTGATTCGTGAGACAAATCACCATCAATAAAGCTTGCTATTTCATTCATATCTATAATGAATTATATTTAGCTTATTAATTAAAGGCAATATAATAATAAAAAATGATATATTATTCTAACTGGTTGAATCTTAACTCTTGAAATTTATCATTTAATTGTGTTCACTTTGTCTGGTTTTGTTGCAGTATGCCCCACATAAAAAAAATTTATATCAAATATGTAAAGCAAAAGTAAAAACTATTTTTACCTACAAAGATATGAGCTGTTAAATTATCAGGTTTCTTGCTATTTAATGAGTGGTCCTGGATTATGGATATAAAATATATAAAATTCATATATTTAAATATATAAAATAATTAGAATGTGTTCAAAAGAATCTTCATTAATAATGTAAATTTATTTCTTCAATAACCACAATGGTAGATGCTGACTTATTTATTTTACTATATCCAGAAAAAAACTAACAGTAATTGTTACATATAATAGAAGGAAATTTATTATATTAATTTTTAACAGGTTAATAAACTATCACAGGTCAAAAAGTGGCAAAACAGCCATATTTAAGCCAAGAATTATTGAGGTGTATAAAGTTGGTGTCTGCAACTAAGAAGTTGCAATTTGGGATATTTTAATCTAGGTCACAACTGATTGCAGAATTTCAAATCAGTTGCAGACACTAACTTTAGAGACATGGTAGATTTTGAATGTTAAATCTGGGCATCCATTTTTCTGGTAACTTTATGATTATAATTTGCAACTATTATATAAAAAAATAAAAAATCATTTTTTCAATAAAAAATCTGCATGATTTTAGGCAAAACAATTCTGGATTAGAAAACTCGGATTTTATTTAAGATTATGGACTACTACTAATTGATGCTTATTCCGTCCTTTATTGATGGATCACGAACAAAAATGTTTTTTGACATTGTAACCAAAAATTAATTCCTATTTCAAGCTGAAATTTCCTAAAAGTAAAATTTACATATTACCTGAACGAAAAATCATGGCATAAATATCTAATGCAGCAAGGATTAAGTTGCCTAATAGATTTATGGGTGTTTATATATGTGTAGTATAAATATTAGTATTATTATTAGTATAATATTATTTATTTATAAATATCAGTTAGTCATTTATATTTCTCTTATTACAAACACAATTATTCTCTTTCTTCTTCAATTAAAAACTTATGTACTATGTAAAAGTCGTTCTACATCACTGATATTGATCAACCTATGTGAGACAGCTCAAGCGCATTTTATTTTATTATAAACATTAATATCATTGTGTTTTTACTTCAAAGTCAAAATAGAAAAATAAATATACCTCAAATTATAAATCACTCACGAACAACTGATCCTATTTGGAAATTTATTGAAGAAGTTGATGTCGAACAGATTTGCCAACTTTGTCATAAGCCTCGTATTCAAAAGAAACCAGAATTACCACAATTAAAGGGCATTTTGAGCAAATGCATTCACACAAACTATGATAAAATGATATGTTAGCAGGTTTGCGCTAAACCCGTTCGAGTGAATTTGGCTTTAAATAACATGCTTAAGAATATTTATATAACTACGTTAATATTATGTAACTTATACTTCGAATTTGATCGCTCAAAAAGCCTTTTTTTAAAAAAAGTTCAATCTGCTTGAACTCTAAAACTGGATTAAGACGAACCTAAGCTGAACTGACGAGCAATTTAACATCGCCATCATTTTAATCTAATACTTCACGTTCATCTTCCCCATTTTCATTTCTCGACCTTCTAACTCGCCAATCGCATTACAATTACTAATACCACATGTTTAACACCAACGATCTAAAATAAGGAAATAAATTTCCCGAATATAGATTTTTAAAAAGCCCCTACGAATAAGAATATATATATAAATTGATATAATAAAAAAAATACCATACTAATACTATACCATACCATACTACTATACTATATGTATACTTTATCATCAGGAAATGCAAACTTACGCGGGATCAAAATTGACCAGCATTATACGGACGTTATCAGAATGCTGGTTAATTTTGGCCTGGTGTAAGTTTATGTAATAGTATTTTTAGGTAACGACGGGAAAGTGTACCGAGAATGCGTTTTTCTAATTATATATGATATATGTATTCATTCTGCATCCATACAGTGGCCGACACCCATTCATAATTTCATAGATTTATTGTCTTATTTTAGTTATAAGCAAGCACATAATAATGACAATTTCAAACCCCGATTTGTTCGGAGCCTTAAGAAAAGGTAAGACAAAAAAGACAAGAATTAGTTAGCAGTAATAAACCAACAGAAAGTGAAAACTTTACCAAAAAGCTGTGTTTTGAATTGGAATTGAGTTGTTAACTTTGTGACAATATTTAACGTTGTTATGGTAATGGCAATGTAATCATATACTCGCAATAAACCAATCAGGTTTATTTATTTGAAATCTTTATAAAAATTTACAAATCTTAAATCTTGATATTTCTTTAATAAATCGCCTAATACTAATCCACCTCTTTCCCGAAAAAATTCTTCATTTTTAAATATTTTTATTGTAAAAGGTTTAGGTCCTCTCCAATTCTTCATTAAAGCATCAAAAGAATTAACATCAGAAATGATAACTCTATTATCAAAAGTTATAGTTCTTAATTTTTTTGGTAAGGTTTGATTTAAAACAGTCAATACTTTATCAGCATCCAATATATAATCCCAGCGAAATCCAGCAAGTTCAATGTCTTTTAATTTGATACAATTATTAAATAAATAAGTTAGCTGTTCATCTGCTTCATTTCTGTAAAATATAGATAAATATTCCAGATTTTGACAAATCTGTCCAATTGATTGAATCATTTCTCCCAAACACTTTTCTTTATTTAATTCACCACAAATATTCAGACATTTAAGATTTTTCCCATTGTTTTTAATAAAATCTAACAAATTTGACAGCTGTTTGTGACCAGAAATTGATAGAGAAAATTCTTCAATATTTGGAAGAAAAACAGATTTTAAAAATTTCAATCTTCCAGAATTATTTAATATCAAAGTCTTTAAATTTTGAAATGTTGGTAATAATAAAAAAATTGAGCTATTTTTCCCATTGCTTTGACAATAAACTATCGATCTCGAATGAATTGAGATTGCTTGTTTGAAATCTTCTGATAAAACCATGTCGTTTTCGGTATTATAAGTATTATAAATAGTTAATGATTTAATTTGATTTTGTGCTTTAATCAATCGAGCTAGACTATAATCAGCCTTATTATTATCAAATGAACAACTGGCATTTCGTACTTCTATATTAATATATTGAATCTTTTCACAAGTATTTGCTAATTTATCAAAAAATTTAGTTCCATCAGAAAAATAGCAACTTAGCTCATTAAGATTCTGGAAACAAGTGTCAAATCTACAATGATTAGTCAATAATTCACACCCTTTATTTGCAGTTGCAAGCTCTCGAATAGTCGAATGATCTAAAACAAAGTCTAATAATCTTTCTTTTAACGTGTCAAATTTACTCTTATCGATCAACTTTCTTAAACGACAAAAATAAGACCAAAAATCTAGTTTCGTAGCAAATTTAGCGTAGTTGTATAATGGCGGGTTTTCCAATAAATCAAAATTTATTTTAATGTCATTTTCTACCAAGAAATTCTTATCTTCTACGAAAAAACAATTAATTATGATCTTGATGCTATTTTCATAAGCCAATGGATTTCTCCATAAAGTTGGAATATTGTTTCTGTGCCATTGTTTATTAACAAGAATGCAAGAATGTAATGTTCCATTATCATATTTAATGTGTTTAAATATTTCTGATAAAATTTCTGGTGGTATAGTCAACATTCTTGGAAAAACAAAACAATTTAGTATCAAGTAAATGTCACAATTTTATCATCTGTTACACAACATATGTCACATAAAGTTTAGAAAGTTTACAGTTAATAGTAACAAAAAATATTAATACAATCTGGTTTTTTTAAATTCTTACCTTATATAACTGATAATGTTTCTATCATGGATTTCTCAATTAGGTCTTCTTAAACTTAACCCCGGTATTTTAAAGTTTTATTTGTATATAAATATACTTTTTTAAATTTTGGTTCAATCTGGGACTTTTTGCTGATTAGTTATTTATTTATTTATTTTTTTTTTTTTGGTAGATAGTAATGTTTTGGCTAAATTTCCTTTGAATGTAAGAAAAGTGCTTATTTCAGAGATAACACAAACATTACTTCAAGCGCATGATCCAAACTTATTATCATCAACTTATCATGTAAAATGGGTTATGGAAGCAATAGGTCAAGGTTTTACCTTGCCATTGGAGGAAATGACAATAACATCAAATTCAAAAGAATTGTATTCTCAATGGTTATTTGAACCAAATTTTCGACCTGCTGCAATAAGAGAAGCAACGGGGAAACCTGAAGAACAAGAATTTTGGCAGGTATGATAAATTTGATTAAATGTTTATAAATACAACTATTTTTTTTTTTAAAAAAATAAATTTAAATAACCATGAAACTAAATAATGAATTATTTTTAGACTATTTTTCATCATTATTCATTATTGTTTCAACCTAGATCTGTTAGTACCAATAATAATAATAATAATAACAGTAATAATAATACTAGTTCATCAACATCAACACCAACCACTCCAGGATTTCCATCATCGATCAATCAACCCAATTCAAATTATGCATATTTACAACATCATATCGAGTTATGTAAAGGAGTATTGATCGTGTTGACCATGGCAGGACGTACTTTAGGAACGCAATTTAGCGAAGAGACTTGGTTAGTTTTATTAAAAGTAATTTTAGGAATAACAGACTCTTTATTAAGAGAACATACATCTGTAACGTTGGCTGAAAAAAACATTGAAAAAAAAACTATAACCACCATGGCAGATGAGCTATGTGAACATTTATTGAGAGTGCTATTTGAATTATGGTTAAGATCGAACATTAGTAAAATAGAAATGTGGGACATATTTAAAAAATGTTTTAATCAATGGACATACCGACATCAAGCTCTTCTACAGTGGAATGCTACTACATTAGCATTTACTCAAAGAGTGGTTAGGTTGTTGTATGGTCCAAAAGAAGGATCCGAGACTGTTAATATTTCAGTGGGTGGATATAATGTTGGATTAGATCTTAACACCGATTTTGTTTATTTTGCATGGTATCAAATGATTTATCTGGTCAATAATCCTTGTGTTTTGCCTTCACCGAATTTTTCTTTGGCAATATCTGGAATAGCTAGAATAGTTGATTCTTTTCTAATAATTGGTAGTTTAAATAACCAACGACCTACCATAAAAGATACTGAAACTTCTCATGCTTATTTAACACCTGATGGAAATACAATATTAAATATGTTTGGTCGGTGGTTATTTCAAGCTTGTAGTATCAAAAGCACTGACCTTGGCTTTGAAAAAGGAAGAGCAGAAGCTTATGGTATACTATGTAGGATATTCTGTATACCTCAATGCCGGGAAAAATTTTTACGTACTTATATCACTCAGTTTTATTATGTGTTGAGTGAAGGATTGCGAACAATCAGCTGTCTGCCTACAATTCTTATGAACACAAAATCACTTTTTGCAACTGAATTGGAAGGTGTAAGAATGATGGTACCGGATTTTATAATAGGTATTAAGATGATTTTACCTAAATTGGCTCCTGATTTTTATACTGATATACCTCTGGAGGAATTAAGGCTTGCAGCAATCAAAGTCACAAGTACAATTATGTGTTTGCCAAATCATTTCGAAAAAGTATCCCTAAAAGAAAATTGGAGTGAAGGAATGGATTTTAATGGTGATAGATTTGTTGTTGGCGATCCTGACGAGATAGTTGTTCATGAATTAGTAAGTTATTATTTATCATTTATTATTTATTACTTAATATCAACAAATTTTATATCAATGCATACATACATATTATATCTATATAGATACGAGTATTGTATTCTGAAGAAGACAACCAAGAACAACCAAATGGTCAAAAAATATTAGAACCTTTCACAGCTGTAAGCTTTTATATATAAAATTTGTAAATAATTGTGTGTATATATATTTATTTATTTGATTTTCCTTTTTTGTAGCTCAAAGTTCATATTTTAGAGCTTCTTTTAACTTCATTAAAAACCGAGCATTCTTCGTATAATCTTCGATATTTACTCCATTTAATAAATGTTTATGTTATTGAGGATGTTGCTTTTTGCCCCGGATTAGTTGGGTTAGTTGTAAAATCAATTCAAGAGAAGGTAAATATGCTACTCCGCTGTTATAAAAACTTTATTCTTTATTTATTTATGCTTTTCTCTCTTTTTATTTTTTTAAACAGGTCTTTACAATGAATCTTCCATCAGATGTTACGCTATATGCATTTGATGTATTAAAAGATTTTGTAGGCTTATATGAGTATGTTCAAAGAGATAGTAAGGTATTGTAAATATTTTTATTAGTTTTACTTATTATAATAGTAACAAAAGCAAAACCTATATATTTACATATAGGTTTACATTTTTATTTAATTTTATAGAATTGTGCTAGAGAATTAGTACTATCGTTTTCTCGCTACATTGACACTTTATTAGCAGGGAGTTGTGGAGGTTTGGTAATTGTTTAAACTCTTTATTCCAAATGTGAAAATTTGGTTTACACTAAAATTTTTATTTTTATTCTTTTATGATCAATTAAATTTTAGGCATCTACATGTCAATTAATTGAGCGTGCATATGATTGTATGATTCGATGGATTCTTGCAGGTCAATGGATAGTTGGTGATCGTGATTGTCATGAAGCAGTAATTTTAACTATTAGTAAAGGAATTTCATTGAACCCAGTCAGTGAAGATGAAAGCAGTTCTCAGCCAAATTCACCAGTTGAAAAGAAAAGAGGTCGCAAAGAAAGTACTTCTAACAAACTTTTTTCACCGAGAGTTACTAGAATTGGTACAAGTAGTAGTGAAAATATTGGATATCAGAGTGGATCAAATAAATGTTGGAAGAGAGGTGAATTGTCAGTCAAAATTGCTGCTGATATTGCAATGTCACAATTTCTCAATCATCTGGGAAATTTTCCTGCATGGGGTGATCATATTGGGCCAAGTAGAGTTTCTACACTTTTCAATCATGACTTGGAATTGGCTAAATTACACATTCCAGAATTAGTTAGATACTTCTTAATTGATGGTAGAGTGATAGTTGGTTTTGTGGAAATGCCAAAACATCCTATTTGGGCAATTAATGGTGATCCAATTACACCAAATGTTACTACTCCAGGAACACCAAACACTCCTAAAACATTTGCAAATTCACCTTCATCATCAACTGCATCACCGGGAACACCATCAACAGCTTCTTCTCTGGAAACACCTATTGTATTAAACAAATTGCAAGAAGAACCTGATGAGCTAATTGATGCTCCATCAGTAATAATCGTATTGCGTGATAGTACTGGAAAGTATTCTTGGACTTCACAAATGCGATACAAATCACAAGGGAATGAGAAATCGCAAAAACTGCCAAGTTCACCAATGCTTGAAGGAGAAAATGACTCTACAAAATTAAGAACACCTTCACCTACTTTTCCTTTTAGAGCAAATACACCACCAGGTGTTAATGAAAAACCAGATAATAAGTCTAGCAATTTAGTTTTGCCAAAAGTTGATGGTTATACTGCAGAGCACATACCATCCGTGGACAAAATATTTAAAGAGGGAAGCGAAAGTTGGGGAGCATATCATGCAATTAAAAAGCTCACATTGAGACAGAAGGAGGCGGAGAAAAAGGAATTGGCTGTGAAAGATAAAAGAACAAACAATTCAAAGTAAGAGAAGTAAGCGATGTTTATTCTTTGGAAGTGTTCTTTTATTTGAAATAATAATATTCAATATTAGGAGTTTTTTTTATTATATACTGTTAGTTGTAAAACTTTGCTTGATCAGCTTCATAAGCACTTAGAAAGGTGACTCTTCATTCTTTATATTTCCTTTTTTTTTTATAAATTACGATTATTAAAATATTATAAAACTGTGTCTCTCTTTTAGTCCACAAGTTTTTAGATTATTTATGGCACAGATAGGATTATTATCATTGGAAAATCGTCATCGTGTAATACCATTAAAGATATCGGAAATCCTTGTAAAAGATCTAGAAAGATTTGATCAATTGAACGAGTAAATTTTTATTGAATATCTATTTTCACAGATTTATTTATATCCAAATTTGACATTTATCTATTATTAATATTATAGAAGAGATTGTTTGAGTGCTTCCATTTATTATGCTAAATCAGGCGTTGAAAGTTATGAAATTTTGATCAATCCTCCTCGTATAAGTGAAGACTTTGAAAGGTTTTTGAATAGCTTAGGATGGCCGGTAACTAATTAAGCAATGATTATAAAATATAAATGTGTGAATCCATATTAATAAATAATTAAACTATAAAGCTATTATTATTATTATAGGTTTTAATAGAATCACATCCGGGATATAAAGCAAAGTTAGATCCTGCACATTGTAAAACAGCACCTTACTTCGCAGATAGATGTGTAGAGGTTATTTTCAGTGTTCCATACTTAATTAGCTTGCCAAATAGTAATTCATCATTGGAATCTTTAATAAAAATTTTTAAAAATATAGCATCAGAAGATTTAGTTTCTATAGTATGGCTAGAAGATATAACTTCCATTCATAAGATTCCATCAATCATTGAGCAATCTGTATTTGTATATATATTTATATATCCATTACAAAATGCAACTGGATTATATTGGATAAGGATCCTTATGCCAGTTATATCTTATCAAGGAACATCTGGAAATATAAATTTTCTTGGTGGAGGGAGATCATTAAAAGGTAGAGTGAGTTGGGGTGCAGACACAACAAAACTTGCAGAAAATCCTTTAGTGAGTAACATTAATTAGTGTTTTATTGCCATTATTGATGCCTTTTTTAAGGAGAGCATATTTATATATATATTAATGTTTATTATTTAGTCATTTGGTCCATTAGTGGATGGTATGATTGTAAGTAGGCACACACTAGGTACATTAGTACGCAATACAACGATATCTGCATATGAGGCGATCAGATCATTTACAGAAACAAATAGTAAGCCGTATGTATCTTTTAATTAGAAAGTTTAATTTGTAGTCTTTTTTTAAATGGTTAACAATTCTTATTTAATATATTTATCCTTAAAGATATAATGTAAGACGAAATTTTATAGATGATATGTCTCACAGATATAAATCAAACATGTCGATTTCAGAGTAAGTACTTTTTTATATCTAATTAATTAAACCATCAGTTTTTAATTATTAATCAATAATCGATCGTTTATTTTTCCTACAGATTTTACACTGAAATATTTACAAAAAAATGATTTTTTGTTTATTGGAATTAAATTTGCAAGTTCATTTTCATTTCATTTCATTTTTTTATTATTCTAAAATCGGGTATTTTTTTTAAAAAATTCATCAAACAATTTTGTCATCGGGAGAAATAAAAAATCTTAGTACAAGATACTGGCTTATTGCTTATTCGCAGCATCTAATGAATTCCTTCGTTACTACTTCTGTTTCTGTGTGTGGCTGATAAAAAGGCTATAAACACTAATATCAAAATAATTAAAGTTGTTTTACACTGCCTGGAGGAAAGTACCGGGTCTTGTTTTTTTATTAATCATACAAATTTTTACATAACAAAAAAAAGATTTAAAAAATATCATTATGTAGCTCAAGTTTCAATCAATAAATATCTCATATTTCTAACATTCACAATAAGAATTCGATTAAAAAAAATTAACTTCAATTAAATACGTGATTTTTTTATCCACGAAAAATTTTTAACGCAAAAACGTAAAATTGATCAGGCCGAGTGGGTGAATTTTTTGGCCTTAGTATTAGTATTAGTATTAAATGAGATGACATTAATAGTCTTAACAAATTTGTAAAAATACTCAAACTTTCGAAAACTACAGTATAAAATATATGAAAATGCCGAAAGCTAGATTCAAAGAAAAAAATTGTTTATTAACAGATCAGCAAAAAAGAGTTAAAGTGGTACTTGGACAAAAGAAGTTGAATAGTAAGAGGGCGGGAAAATGTTATTTGGGGTGATGAATCTCGCTTCAAAATTTTTAGAAGCGACGAGAGTTTGGAGGATACCAGGTTCTCTGTTAAGCATGGCGATGGTGGGATAAAACGGTACAGGGGTGTTTTTCCGGCAAAGGGAAGAAGTAACGGTGTTAGAATTATAACATACCAGTAATGAAAAATGTGCAAAATTAGACAAGAGAAATAATGTTAAAATCTTATTTATATACCCTATAAAAAATTTTGTATGAAAAATATATGGAAAACACACGGAAAATGTCCAGAATTTTCCTTGAAAAGAGCGCTTTTCTGTACCTTTTTTGTATGGAAAACTTGCGGAAAATATACAGAAAAATGTTTCTATTCCCTTTATGTCTTCCGTTAATTTTCCATATAGCAGAAAATGTAATTAGTATTAGTATGGAATTTATATTTTCCGTAACTAATCCCAATAAGAATAATAAATAATAATAATAATTGCACCTTTCAGGTAAAGTTTTCCGCACAGTAAAAACATGAAAAGTTGGTTTTTCTGGATTTATTTTTAATAAGGCTAATTGGGCACCCAAATCTCTTGATCTCGATCCGATCGAGCAAGCTTTTGGCGGAAGATTAAAAAAACTTGGAAACTCATCACGAAAATGCTCAAGAGTTGTTGATCGTTTTGCAAGAGGAATGATCAAGAAAATTCACTATATATTTTATCCGAAATCCTTTTGATTAAAATAAAAAAGTATCATCAATAATAAATCTATAATAAAAAATTGTGTCTAATAATGATTTCATTTCATATTCATATTCATTAATCTTTCGCGGGGTGAGCTTCTAAAGCCTAACCAATATTAATATCTCATATCATAATAATAAAATATTAAAAGTATACGATATTTATAAGCATAAACTCATAACAAACCTATCTTGTAGCTGTTTCAAATCATTGTTCACTCTTGAATACAAATTTAATTGTATGATGAATTCACAATTACAATCAGCTTTAAAATTTACTACGGTCTCACAAAAAACGCTACCCGCAGTTATTTTGGGGGTTTATTTATAATCAATCACGAGGATCATTTTTTTTAGCTTAGTAAAGAAACAATACTTTTTTTACTTTCAATTTTTAAAATTTCTAGTTGAAAAGAAAAGAATCAAAAAAATGAACCAAAAAACAACTGCAGCCACGGCTGTTGAACGCAGGCCTGGCAGAACTTCCAAAGCAAATATGACATCAATGGTCTCATTATCTAACAAGACAACTGAAAAAAATGGCATTGGAATAATAGTCAATGGTAAATAATTTAAACAAAATAATTTTACTCATTGAATTTAATTGATTAATTTCATATTTGGAAATCATGGTTTAGCTAATATCGAAGACGAGGTTAGTTCTAAAGAAGGAACTTATGAGCACATGTCTAAGTCTGAAGAAAATGGTAATAAAAATAATGGTGATAATAAAAACAACAATGGTAATATTAATAATAATTTACCATCATCAGTTAAACGTGGTCGTGGAAGGCCAAAAAAAGTTCAGGATCTCAATAGTAAAAAAATCATAAAGACTGAGCCTGATGCAAACAACAACAACAACAACAACAACAACAACAACAACAACAACAACAACAACAGCGATAAAAAAATTGATATTAATGTTAATTCATTGTCATCTGTCAAACATGGTCGTGGAAGGCCCAAAAAAGTTCAATTTCTAAATGGTAATGGTGTTGAAATTAATCTTGGTACTGGTGAATCTAATGCAAACAACAATAATAGCGATACTAATGATAATTTACAATCATCTGTTAGACGTGGTCGTGGTAGACCAAAAAAAGAAAATTTAAATGATAAGGTTGCTGAAACCAATCTAAACAATAATAACAGCAATGTTAATGTTTATTTGCAATCACCAGTTGAACATGGTCGTGAAAGACCCAAAAAAGTTCAGTTTCTAAATGGTAATGGTGTTGAAATCAACCCTAATATTGATGAACCTGCTGCAAAAAACAATAACAGTGATACTATTGATAGTTTACAATCATTAGTTAAACGTGGTCGCGGGAGACCCAAAAAACATCAGGATCTAGATGGTAAAAGTATTGAAATCAATCACTGTATTGATGAATCTAATGCAAACAATAATAACAGTAATGATAATGTTCACTTGCTATCATCAGTTAAACGTGGTCGTGGAAGACCAAAAAAAGAGATTTTGAATGGTAAAGATGCTGAAATCAATCACAGTATTGGTGAACCTGGTGCGAACAATAATAACAGTGATGATAATGTTTATTTGCTATCATCAGCTAAACGCAGTCGTGGAAGACCAAAGAGAGAGATTTTAAATGGTAAAGATGCTGAAATCAATCACAGTATTGGTGAACCTGGTGCGAACAATAATAACAGTAACGTTAATGTTTATTTGCAATCATCAGTTAAACGTGGCCGTGGAAGACCCAAAAAAGTTCAGTTCCTAAATGGTAATGGCGTTGAAACTAATTCTAGTACTGATGAGCCTGATTCCAACAACAATAATATTGAAATCCATCCCTGCATTGATGAATCTACTGCAAACAATAATAACAGTAATAATAATTTTTATTTATCATCATCAGTTAAACGTGGTCGTGGAAGACCAAAAAAAGAGGTTTTAAATGGTAAAGATGATAAAATCAATCTCAGTATTGTTGAAACTAGTGCAAACAATAATAGCAGTAACGTTAATGTTTATTTACAATCATCAGTTAAACGTGGCCGTGGAAGACCCAAAGTTCAGTTCCTAAATGGTAATGGCGTTGAAACTAATTCTGGTACTGATGAGCCTGATTCCAACAACAATAATATTGAAATCCATCCCTGTATTGATGAATCTAGTGCAAACAATAATAACAGTAATAATAATTTTTATTTGTTATCATCAGTTAAACGTGGTCGTGGAAGACCAAAAAAAGAGGTTTTAAATGGTAAAGATGCTGAAATCAATCACAGCGTTGGTGAACCCGGTGCAAACAATAATAACAGTCATGTTAATTTTTATTTGCAATTACCAGTTAAACATGGTCGTGGAAGACCCAAAAAGGTTCAATTTCTAAACGGTAATGGTGTTGAAATTAATTCTGGTACTAATGAACCTGATGCCAACAACAATAATAGTGATACTATTGATAGTTTACAATCATTAGTTAAACGTGGTCGCGGAAGACCCAAAAAACATCAGGATCTAAATGGTAAAAGTATTGAAATCAATCCCGGTACTGATGGATCTGGCGAAAACAATATTAACAGTGATACTAATACTCATTTGTTATCATCAGTTAAACGTCGCGGAAGACCAAAAAAAGAGATTTTCAATGGTAAAGATGCTGAAATCAATCCCAGTATTAGTGAACCTGGTGCAAACAACGATAATAATGATGATAATGCTTATTTACAATCATCAGTTAAGCGTAGTCGTGGAAGACCCAAAAAAGTACAGTTTCTAAATGGTAATGGTATTGAAACCAATCCTGGTGTTGACGAATCTGGCGTAAACAACAACAATAGTGATACTAATGGTAGTTTACAGTCATTAGTTAAACGTGGTCGTGGAAGACCCAAAAAACACCAGGATCTAAATAGTAAAAGTATTGAAACCCATCTCAGCACTGACGATGACGCAAACAATAATAATAGTTATAGTAATAATGTTAATATAAATGGTTATGGTGATGATAACAATAATAATTTATCATCGTCGGTTAAACGTGGTCGTGGAAGGCCTAAAAGGGTTCAAGATAAAAATAATACTGTCCCTACAGGAAATGGAAATAGGGTTGGAGTAAGTAAAAAAC